GCACTCGGCTGGCCCTGAAACACTATACATCTTAATGTATAGTACATTCCAAATAGAACATAAGCTCATTGAGAGCAGGGAATTGTTTTCTTCATTACTGTATCCTTGGTGCCTGGCATATAGCTGGGATTCAATAAAGTTATCAAATAGATAAATGACTAAATTCTAATTCAGGAATATGTTAAGTATTCCTCCATTTCCATCTGGGTGTCCCCTTACCTCTGTTCAGGCCTTATCACCCTCTGGGATCAACTGAGGCAGCTTTCTTATTGTTCTTCCAGCCTCCCATCTCTCCTTCAAATTCCCTGTCCACATTGCAGAACAGCTCTATCTAAAACAGTAATGTGGTTACCTTAATCTTAAAAATTCTTCATGGGAAGGGGGAAAAAACCCTTCATGGATCTCCCCCTACCTTAAGGACAAAGTCCAAGCTCTTCAGGACTCTTTATCTCCTTGTGATTTGGCCCTTGCCCTATAGTCACATCCCCCTAACACCCCACCATTCAGCCACAGCAAATAATTCTGAATGTTCCAACTTCTCTGGAGCTGTGGGCCTTTGCATGTTCTAGCCCCAAACCCTAGCCTGGCAAATGCAATAATTTTTCCAGCCTGAGCTCAATGGCAGAGTTGGCAGCTTTGTTGCCCACAAGCTGATATGCTTCTGCCCCTAGGATCCTTCAACCAGAATTTTCTTCCATCACAGCACTTATCACTTTGTATTTCTGTCTGCTTCCTTGTTTGTCTCCTCTCCCTGACCTCGTATTCTGTGAAGGCAGAGACTGCTGGGTCTCAGTTGCTTTTGTAACTCATGTCTAGCACTGAGCTTGGCACATTACATAGACATCATTAAATATTTCTGAATGAGTGATTGTCAGTCCCTGAAAACCCTTTAGGCATTCAGCAGTACTATCCTGCCAAGGCAGTCCTCTTTCTCATGAGAAATTCCCCCAAACATCTGCTCAAATTTACAGCCCCACACTTAGCAGTAAGAGGACTACATTCCCCAGCTGGCAGTTCAGTAGACACGTGGCTTAATCCTTCCACCCTATCCCACAACTTCTGGAGACAAGAAGGATGATTTCACATTACATCAGGTTCATTCTTGCTCATGGAGGAATCGGCTCCCAAGACCTAACAGGACTAGAGGGTGGGAGTGGACATCCATGGAAAACACTGACCACTTTCTCAACTTCATTTCCCAATCAGAGAGAACAGTTTCTGATTTGTTACTGGTGAATTTATTACATGATTAAAGTTCAAATAAAAAAATAATAACCAAAATCTCAGCAGGGAGGCTAGAGCCAGAGTTTGGGAGAGCTGCTTCCCTGTCCCCAGCCTCTATGGTGAAGCCCAGCTCTATTAACTCAGCTTGACTCGATCAAGTTCCTCATCAAGACTTGCATCTGTGCCCTGGACATCTATGCTGTTTGCACTGGAGACTGAGTCCTGGGCCTTTGGCACTGGGGCTTTGGTGAGGGCCCCATACACACTCATGGCCTGAGAAGAGGAAGAGAGAATCATGAGGACATATGGAATAAGGTGTAACACAACCCACCAATGGCTAAAAAGAAGGTGGGGCTGGGGTCGGTCAGCTTGTTTTTACTTTCTCCCTCTCTCACACGTCAGTCTTATAAGTTTTAGAGTCGGTTCTAGGAATCTTACAAACTACCAGAGCAGGGCCACCCTCAGAATACGAGTACAGGTATCTGGGGGGGGGGGGGGGGAGATAGACACAAGAGCTTCCCTATCTCCAGGGATGAGTAAGATTTGTTCTCTATGGTGAATTAAGGGAGGTCTAGGTCTCCAGGCATTCTGAAGACCTCTATGGTATATTAAGTGGAGGTGGTGGTGGTGGTTGAGTCTCAGTTTCTGGCACTGGTGTTCTGTGCTGGGTCCTCAGGGCATCTTACCTGAGCCACCATACTGGTGACATCGCCAGGGTTGGAGGGCAGCAGGACAGTGTTGGAGTCCTTCGCCAGTTTGGAGAACGCGCTGACATACTGCTCAGCCACGGTCAGTGAGGCTGCTGCATCTCCATTCTGTGGCCACAGGAGGAATAAAATCAGAGATCACAGATGTAGAGAAGGGGATGGGGTGGAGGAGTACAGAAGAAAAGTCAGGTTCCTGGAAAGATCATAATACAAGCGATCATGTAACCTGGCTCAGTGGCACCCACAAAGGCAGGAACTTTTCCCAAGGGTAGATAAAAGAACCTCTTCTAATCAATTTCTACTACCCACTCCCACCAGGGGTCTCTCACATGTTGTGTCAAAGCTGCAGCCAGGATGCGAATAGCTTCAGCTTTAGCCTTGGCCTTGGCCAGAACTGCACTAGCTTCTCCTAGAAGAAAAGAGACAGAGCTTGACCCATGAGGTCGGGGTACCCCAAAGCTCCTGTCCCAGCACCAACCCTCAAAGACCCATGCCCTGCTCCTCCATCAGGCTCTACCCTCTGCTGACCTGCTGCCAGATTTATTTGTTCAGCCTTTTCTGCCTCAGAGGCCAGGATCTGTGCCTGCTTCTTCCCCTCTGCCACGTTGATGGCTGACTCTCGGGTCCCCTCAGACTCTAGAACTGTGGCCCGTTTCCGCCGCTCTGCCTCCACCTGGAAGCCCCCAGAGACCCCAATCAACAGAAAGTCAGAGTAAACTCTTATACAGATAAGCAACTGTACCTATCATAATAGGGAAGGGAATCCAGGTCCTAGTGTGACTAGAGCGTCATGAAGTCCGCCCTGGTCCCCACCTGCATCTGCATGGACTCTTTCACCCGGGGCGGCACATGGATATCCTTGATCTCATAACGGAGGCAGCGGATACCCCAGCAATCAGCAGCCTGGTTGATAGCATCCACAATACTAGCATTCAGGGACTCCCGCTCCTGGAGGAAGAGAGGTGTAAGAAAGATGTAAACCTCATGCTGAGAAGGGCCTAGAACTAATCTTGATCCCGGAAAGGACTGAAGAGTGCCAAGCATGTATCTTCAAACTAACTCTGGCTCAGATCTCTTTACCCTGAAGACTTTGTCCAGAGAGAGTTTGCCGAGCTCTGATCTCATGGTCGTCTGAGCTAGCTGGGTGACAGCATACTCAGGATCCTCTACACCGTAGCTTGCCTGAAAGGAGCATAGATAGTGTAAGATGCCTGGATGCAGGAGAATAACTGAGGAGGTAAATAAAGCAGAAGGGACATAGATACCTTATAAGGATCCATGATGCGCAGGTAAAGGACTCCATCGATTTGCAGAGTTACATTGTCTGTAGATGCAGGAGCAGGAAAGAAGAGTAAAGTCAGGCCTCCAGGTCCCAATCAGCTCTTTCTCCTAAGCTCTGAATCTCCAGCAACCACTTCCTAATGGCCTCAGAGCACCCATGTTACTCTGCACCCCTCACCTAGAGTCACAGCCGACTGCTCAGGCACATTGATGACAATTTCCTTGAGACTCTGCACATATCGGATCCGGTCTAACACAGGGATGAGGATGTTCAAGCCCTGGGAAGAGGAGTCATGGGTCTTCAGAAGACTAGGGGTTGTAGGGCTGGGATCCAAGCTAGGCCTGGAGTGGGTAGGGAATCAACATACAGAACGTGCCCAGAAAAGCTGAAGGCTGGGGGTGTCAATGGTAGGGAAGCCCAAGGGAATAGGAATGTGAGGCTGGTCCTCTGAATGGGATGGGAGAATCAAGGGAATGGGAGTCAGCAGAGTAGCTTTCTCCATGCAGACAGGTAGAGCTGAGAAAGTGGGTAGGGGAGATTCCCAAGAATGGGACCTGTGGAATGCCAGGGCAATATGAAAAGGTGAGAACATGGGTATGATGGTCAACAGTCTAGGCCCGGCTAGGTCTGGCCTTAAGAGTTGCAAGCCAAAGGTGAGGGCAGGCCCCAAGCAGGTCCCACCCCATCCCCCAAGTCATGAGGGAATTGGGCATCAGGCTGGCCTGGGGTGGGCAGAACAGGTTCTCACAGGCTCCAGGATCCGGTGGAATCTGCCCATTCGTTCCACCACCCAAGCCTCCTGCTGCGGCACAAACAGTACCACGGTGTTTCGGGGCAATCCTGAGGAGGCGCGGCGCGGAGCGCGGCCAATAGCCTGCACGGAGCCCTAAAGGGAAGACGACGGTTATAAGACATCCCAGCCGGCCGGGCACCCGCCCCTCTAGGCGCCTGTCCGAAGGCGCCACCCTAAAGGATCCTCAGAGAAGTTCACGTGGGACCATGACCTCTGACCCCAGTTCTCTCCCCAAACTTAGAACTCCTCTCTTTTCCAGCTGAGGACCCAGGTGATCTCTGGCGCAACAGTTGGAGTAAGCTGCCTCGCTCTTACCCTGAGCAAAAGGGCCCCAGTCTCCCGCACCGTGCGCGCCAGCATTTCCCACCGCCGCAGCGACCTCCGGAACCAACGAGACGCGGAGTAGAGCGGTCGCTCTAGAAGCCCGGACCTAAGCTTTTCCTTTCCTCCTGTATTTCCAATCCCCCGATGTACTTCCGGTCGTCTTTTCACTCCGTGCACGCCCCATTCCACACTCAGCCAATCAGCGTTACTTGACAGAGGCGTGCATCAAGTTGTTCCCTGGGAAACGCAGACCTACAGGGAGCCAGAGGTTAGAACTTGTTCTGGTTCTCTCTGATCATGCCCAAATCTCAGAAATGGTGACCAGAATGGAAGCTATTTTCTGTGTTCAAGTGGCCCAGAAATATCTCTCAGAGTTGTTTACCCCCACCCGAGAGACTCAGTTCACCGTTCCGAGCGTATAACCGTCCCCATCTGTCACCATAGCGACCAGGGGGTTGGAGCGGACTCCAATAGCCATAGTTGCCATAGTGACATTCTCTGGCAGTCCTGCTGTGTTGTACCCAGCCCTCCCACTGGGGACTTACCCGATTCGCGTTGCCATAGTGACTGGGCCTAACATTGCCGGATGATTGGACTGAGATTTACCACTTCCCTCTTTTCCCAAGGTACCATAGCTTTTTCTACCTCTTTCCAGGGCCTAATAGATCCTGGTCCCCTTGCATAGACTTCAGCACAGAGTCCCAACATTCAGCCTTGTCTGGAGCATGTCACCCTGCACACCTCCCTGAGCTCTGGCACATCCTTTAATAGACTTGTATGGTCACCCTCATTTTACACATCAGGGCACTGAAGTTCAGACGGGCTAAAATCATTGACAACAGAACCAGTATAAGAATCCATATCCACATCCAGAGAGTTCTGCTTTTATATTGAACCTTCCTCACCACCCAATCCCATTATGTGGAATCAACCCCAACCCTAAGAATCAGCAGGGCCTCATGGAAGACCTTATGAAGACCATCCCATTCAGAGGTCTTCCATTCATAGCCTCAGGCCCCCTCTCTGGGAGAAAGGGTAGAGTCCCAGCTCCAGTTAGGCCCTCTATCCCCATTCCCATGCTTTCCCCAACAGAAAAAGTAGGACTTAGTTCAAGTTTCCAAACAAGAATTTATTCTTTCTTTCTTAAAAAAAAAAAAAAAGTACCAGGTACAATTTTTTTTCCCCGTGTGTGTGTGGTTTTTTTTTTGTTTTTTTCAAGTTTCAGCAAATGCTTGTTCCCCTCAACCTAGCCCCAGAAGTCAGGGCTAAGGCTGGGTCAGTGTCTGGAGTGGGGAACGGGGTAGTTGGGAACCACATGACTGGGTTTGAGGGGTGCCCCTCACCCCCAGCTGAGGTAGGTAGGTCAGAGTCTGGCCAGGTGAGAGGAGGCACCCCGGTCCATGGCCCTGACTCTGCCCCCTGAACACCTTCCTCAGTCAGGACCCCAAAGTATGGAGACACAAGCAGGAGAGGGACAACTGGAGTCTGGAGCCCTAGATGAGGGGTGGTTAACCCCCATGTGTGTGCACATGCATGAACGTTCTTTCTCACACACATACCACACACACAGCTTCCGCATGTGCATGTGCGCGCGTGCGCGCGCGCACAAGGCCTTCAGAAAGGGGTCAGAGGGTAGGGGAAGTGAAAAAAACAGGGAAGGACAGGGGAAACTGAGTCTTTGGCTAGTGACTCAGTCCGTCTGGGATAACCTCTCTGCCCTCAGCTGAGGGAGAGCAGTTCCCCAGTCCCAACATCAGCCTCTTCAACTCCTGAGGTTGGAGCAATATCTGAGAGTGGGAAGGGAGGAGGGGCAATGCCAATTGTCAAGTTTGGGAGGTTACCAAGGCAATCCAATTTGAATAAATTATAAATTAAAAATAAATAAAATAATAAGTGGCCCCTGCCCAGGACTGGGAGGCAACACTGGCATGACTTGCCTGGGAACTTGGGACAACCTCAGGGTAGCTTCGGTTCCTCCCCAGTACCTAAGCTGGCCTGGGAATTCGAAGGGAGGGGGCAGGCACGTGGAGAACCCAGAATAGGGCAGATTGTGGTAAGGATCAGAAGCTTTAAACACCCAAATAATCACTTTGGGCATGAGCATGGCGAGGGCTTTAATTCAAGCCTGAAGGGTCTCTCGCCACCTCTCCACGTGTTTGCTCTGTCCAGGATGGAGTATGACGGGCTGGTCCTTGGCCCACATAGGTTCAGGGCACTGGCATTCAGGGCAAAGGTGAATAACGTGGATTGTGAGGGGCCTCAGTCACAGCCTGCAGTTCATAGGGGAGCCCTGTGTCCAGTTCCAAGCTCCGGCGGGAAAAAAGCAGGCGGATGTCTCCATGCAGGCTTAAACGGCCTGAGCGGGAGCTCCGGAACCTAGAGGAGAATAGGGTGATCAAAGGAAGGACCCAGACAATAGAGAAGCAAGGAGAGATCCTATTCAGGGAAGGGCTACCTGGGTTGGGGAAAGGATACTTGGGCCTCCCCAGCTGTCCTGGAGCCCTGTCCTCACCTGAGGTGCAGCAAGTAGCAGAGGAGGCGGCGGGTGGGGCTAACATTTCCCTCCTCACCCACAGGCACCAAAAAGAGGCGATGGCGCAAGAAGGTCATGTGGGCAGCAGGCATGTCCGAGAAGTCAAAGGTCACGAGGAACATCTTCACCACAGTCTGATTGGGGTTAAATAAGGTCTGGGGGCAGGACAGGCAAGATTGGTAGGGCCTAGGGGCTGTTTTCCTCTCCCCACTCCCCCCTCCCCCCACCTCAGGGAAAACTCACCACTTGGATGGTGCCCACCTTGGGCACGCTGTAACCCTTCCTCCCCAGGGGGTTCAGGTCCACGACGCCCTGGAAAGGCCATGGAGCCATCAGCTAAGGTGAGTACTGAGAGAGCCCTGAATACTCATCCATCTCCACAGTCTCACTCTGGGATCCACACTAGAGTGTTCCCCACTGCCTTGACTCTTTCCTAGGTGAGGAACACCTAAAGAATACCTCCTATACTCTAGTTTCTCTTCAGATCACATAAATCTTTCGCCTTTTACTAGAGATTTCCGTGAAGAATACCTCCTGACCCCAACCCCTCATCCTCAAGAGCTGATTTTGAGTTGAAATCAGATCATACCAGAAAAGGGGCTGGGGCATTTTGTTCAGAAACATCAAAGAAGGTGACAGTGACAGGCAGCGTGACATGCTGGGGGCAGTAGGATCCACTAGCTCCAATCTCTGCCGTGAAGCCCTCAATGTGGCCAGATGGTGCAAAGCGCCCTCGCAGCAGTGATTCCTGATGTGGGAAAACACACTTTGAGAAAGATGCCAGCTCTTTTCCTTATCCATCCAAGCCACACTCCACCATCCCACTCCCCACAAGATCCCCACCCCCACAACCACCACCAATCACGGAATCCAAAGGGAACTACCTCAAAGTTGCCCAAAAGGGTACGGCTGACAGTGGGGGTAGGAGCAGGGGAGGCACTGGGGGGGCTCAGCAGGCCTGGTCCCTTCCGGAAGTTTCGAAGGGAGCTCCTGGTAAATAAGGAAACACACAGTGGGTTGGCTTGAGGTGTGCTGAGATGCCTGCTTATGTCCTTAGGCCCCACGCTTTGCCATTATTTAGGGCTCCTGTCCTGGGGTCCCCTACCCAGCAGTGGGAAAGAGAATTGTCCAGACACAGGGCAGAGGGAAAAGCTGGTCACTTACAGCTTCAGGCGACGGGCACCTTTCAGCCTCCGCCCCATGGGACTGCAGTCTATAGGGTCCTATGGAGAACAAAGATTAGAGAAAGAGATTGGGTGGAGGCCAGGTATGTTTGGGAGCAAGGACTGATTACAAGCTTTCATAGGAATATGCCCCCCTTCACCTTTTCCCACACATATAGCCACTTAAGAGTAGACCACCTCCAAAGGGGAATGGGTAGGGAGTTGGGCAGAAAAGGGGAAGGGGATTAAGAAGTACAAACTTCCAGTTATAAAATAAGTCACAGAGGTATAATGTACAGCATAGGGAATAGAGTCAATAATATCATAATCACTATGAACAATGACAGATGATTACTAGACTTATTGCGGTGATCACTTTGTAAGGCATATAAATGAATCACTATATTGTACACTGAAACTAATATAATATTGTGTCAGCTATAATTAAAAATAAATTTTAAAAAATAGTTGACATCTTCTCTCCTGGCTTACCAGAACAGGCTCCTTGGGCCCAGGCAGCAGGTGGCTCCAGAAGGGTGTGGCTTTGGCATCAGAACTGTTGGCAGCAGGAGGGTGACCCAGGGCTCCCCGGCGCCTCTGAGGGGCTGGCCCCTCATCCTCAGAGCTGACATCCAGGGCTTCTCCAGCAGGAAGCAGCCTTCGCTTGGTGGGGCAGGGGCCTGGAGGTCCAGGGCCAGGGGGTGTGTGCTCGGGACTGTGCCCATTGGCAGTGCCAGGGGACTCCCTAGGCCAGGGGCTGCCCCCATTGCCCACCCCAGCCACTGGGCTCTTACCCCCTAGTTGTGCAAGACTGTGCAAATCAGTGTCAAGTGTGTGCAGCTGGCCTGGAGGGGCTTGCCCTGGGGACTCCCTCAGGGACCCCTGTCCCCCTGGATCTGGGGAAGCCCAGTCTCTGGTGTGCAAAGTATTGCAGGAAGCATTTGATGGGGGCCAGGGGGGATTCTGGGTCCCTGAAGTCCAAGGTGAGGTGGCGCTACTTCCCTGTTCCACAACACAGAGGCCATGATGGCAGAAATGCTGGCTGGCCACACCCAGTTCCAGCCCCAGCCCCTCTGAGCCCAATAGCCCCACAATAGATGGTTCTTCAGGGGGTAGGCCCTCCCTAGCCCCCAACCCAGGGCCTCTCTTCAGCTCTCGGGGACCCTCAGTGGATGGGGCTGACCGTTTCAGGGCCCTATGAGGCTCGGAGGCACCAGCTGGAGTGGAAAAGATGGATACCTGGTAGACCCCGGGGGATGTTGCCCCCCCTGCTGGGCTGTAGCCCATGAGCAGGCCACCCTGGAGGGCCCCCTGCCTGACTGCAGGCTGCGAAGGGCCAGCCTCTGGCTCTGAGGATGGAGATGGCTCCGCCTGCACGTGGCGCATGAAGCCCCGCCTTGGGTCAGGGGGGCCCCCCCCCACAGCCTTTATGCTGGGCCTGGGCTGGGGGGCCTGGGGACATCTGTGCAAGAGAAGAGAAGAAAAGGTGGTCAGAGGAATCAATGTGTCTTCTCTCTCCCAGCTGAGTTTCAGGTCCTCCCCTGGCCTGAAGAGGTGACCTTGCAGGGTTCCTGGGGGTAAAGGTTTCCAAATCCCCAGGTGGATTAATGGAATATAGAGGCTACTCCCAGAACTTCTGAAAGGGTGACATGTTTAGCTCAGATTTCTTACTGGACCTGCTCCCCCTCCCTCTCCCTGGCACTCACCCCGATGAAGAGGCCTTAAGCCTAGCTGTGTGTTCCCTCTTTCTGATTGATGTCTTGCTCTCCTAGCTTGCAGTCTGCTCCATGCCCGCTGCACTGGCAAGGTGACTGCCACCATTCCGTGCAGCTCCTGGGCTCAGCTGGACCCTAAGGAAAGAAAAACAAACATAAGCCAGGATCCCTGCAGTCAGTGGTAAGGTTCCTCTCCTATTGTGGCCTAATAGAATATACCATAAGACATCCTCTTCCCATGTGAGGAGCTCTTCAGAAACAGAAGGGCAGTCTTGGGATCCAGGGCCCAGAGAGCAGAACTGGGCTACATAAAGAGTCACAGGCAGGCAGGTCTTGGCTCAAAAGGAGTCACAGGGAGGTAGGTCTTGGCTCAATGTAATAAGGATCTGTTAAGTTGAGGCAGGATGGCGACTTGTCAGGGCCACCACCTTGGGGACTCCTGCTCTGAATGGGAAGGGGGATGAGATACCCCAGCTCCAAAAAGACCATGCCAGCTAAGAGGTAGCCAGGGCAAGAATTCAGAATTCCTAGTAAAGTCCACCAAGTTGCACAACTCCTTCTCACATGTCTATCTCCAAAGGGACAAGTACCACCCCAGAGCCCTAAGGGCAGGTATCTTGCAGAAACTCCCTCCCCCCACTCCTCTCACACTCAGAGGTACAAACCTCAGGTCAGTTCAAAGCAGGCCCTCCAGCCTTAAACTCCCAATTAACCCAAGCAGTCTGTCCCTTTAACAGGACGCAACAAATCTAACCAAAAACAAGTCTGGGGTGGGAGGGAGAGGAGGCACTGCCAGAAGGCACTTTCCAGGGTCTACCCCTCCCCTTAGGCCCTGCAAACTAGAGATAAGGCAGTGGCAGTCAGACAGCTGGAAGCATCTAGGGGGTACCTTTCTACTCCTCTCCAACACATTCAACACCCAAAAAACAAACCACTGCTTTTCTGCCAGGGCACAAGATCATCTTCACCAAGTAGTCCACCTTCAGGGGCCTACACTGGGTGAGGGGAATGTCAAATTGAAGACCATTTTCATTTTCCTTCATGGGAGGAAAAACTGCTCCCAGGATCAAGCTTCCATCTAACATCCACAATGCCCTTTCTCCTTCAAGGAATGCCCCCTGTTTGCCTACCCAAGCCCTACCCTTTCTCCTTGGCTAGGCCAAGTGCCATCCCCTCCAGAAAGCCTACTCTGGCCACCCCAGACCACAGATATCTCTCCTCTGAGACCTCACCTAGGGCAGTGTCACTATCTCCTGCAACTCAGTCACAGTTCTGCTTCCTCTGTGGGTAAGACAGCTCCCAGACCAGGGGTCAGCAAACTTTGGAGACGGAAGAGCCAATCCTGTACCTCACAACAATTTAAAAATTATTCGAGAACCATAAAACAAATGAAATCATCACTATGTGAATATCCTTTAAAAATTTTATAAATGAAACTATGATAGTTTTATTTTCATTTTCAATTTTACTTTAGAGCCACATGTACATACCCAAAGAGCTGCATGTGGCTCACAAGCTGCAGTTTGCCAACCCCTGTCCTAGACTGACCACACGATTCTTGAGGATAGATCTGTGCCCCACTCCACGCAACTCCAACCACAGGGATAAGAACATAGCAGGGCTCAAAAAAGCAGATTGCAGGCCCCAGAGATTTGGGTAGCAGTCCTGACAATGCAGAGAAAAACTCCCAGAATGAGAGAAGCAGAGAGATTAATTGTATAGGGAGAATCAGTGAAAACAGAGGTGGGGGTGGGGAGAAAGGGGTAGATTTGCACCCAGGGCCTAAAAAGCTCTCTTTCACTAAGGAGAGCTTCTCCTTCATTACACCCTACACTATCCTAGTTCACCAAGTTCTCATTAGAACTGGGATCCCTAAGACAATTCTGTTTCCTTGTGCTGGGTGCGGTGGCTGGGAAGGGCAGCATGCCAATGGCAGTGTTGTCAGTGGGTACAACTTGTACTCTTTCTACCCCTCCTTTCTTCTCCCCAAGCCAGACAGACTCAGGGAGGGCCTTTTCCTTAGCTCTCCCACCTCCAGGTCATCCCAGTTGGTCTCTTGAGCTCTTGCCCTGGGGAAGCCAGGTGATGACATGATGCCCAACTTGACCCCAGCATGCCTGGCATCTGCTCATTACCCCAGGGCCCTCTCAGTTCTCTCCCTGTCAATGAGAAGATCTAAGGCTCACTTCCCTGCCACCCAGCCAGTCTGGCTCTAGACCATGGCTTCAAGCTGACTCATGGGGCAGGACTTAGGGGGAAGGGTAGGCCAAACCTCCTCTCTGTGCAGGGGGTGGGCAGCAGCTGGCATCAAACAGCTGTGCCAGGCTTTGACTGGCAAAGACTACAGCTCCCAACATGCCAAAGGAGCAAGACCAGTAAAAACAACAAGTCCCAGAATACCATGGGGTTTGTACCCTTAGACACCTGCTAGGCCTGGGAGGTAGAGTAGGTGGGTGTTGGTATAGGTACAAGCTTCCAGGCTCACTCTCCCCTCCCCTTCAGTATTAAAGATGTGCATTTCTACCCTGATCAAGAAGAGTAACAAGGAGAATTCCTCTCCATGTGCTTTCCACCTTCATCTAGTTCAGAGAGAAAGGCTGCCAGCTGCTCTACATTTTGTCCCTACACAGGTCCACACAAGCTAAGGGGCTTGTTTCTATGGACCACCACTGTGGGTAGGAAGGTCAGTCTCTGCTCTCTCACTACCTCCTTGGCCACTGGCCTAGAGCCCTCCACCCTCAGTGGAGAGGGAGCAGATCTCAGCACCTCCTCCAAACTGAACCCGGCAGACTCACCCTGATTCCTACACTCCTTGTTCTGGACGATCATCCACCCCCACCCCCTGCTTAGCCTCCCAGGTCCTTTCTCACCCCTCTCCTCCCCATAGCCTGGGACAGGCCCCATTCCCTACTGGAGCTTCGTAGATTTGCTCTTTTCCCCTAGTACACACTCACCCCGCTCCCAACTTGGCTCCGCCACGGCGGTCGCTGCTCCGGCCCCTCAGTCCCGTCCCTCCCCTCGAATCCCCGATCCTCCCCGCACGGGCCCCCAACCCAGACAAAGGGTGGCTCAGGCTGAGCCCTGCTCTGCTAGGCTCTTTTCTGTTCAGCTTCGTATGCAACACTAGCGGGCCCTGACGCCCGCAGCCCCCCAGCCGCTGCTGCGCCCCTCCCCGCGACTGTCCCTCCCGGTGGCCGCCCCGGCTCCGCGCTGCCGACTCTGCTGCCCCTCTGACTCACAGGCCATTTCCTACCAGCTGATGGGGCCGCCCGCCCCGCCCAGCGACCCAACACCCCCGCCGCGGCGGCCGCGGCCGCCACGCCCCCCTCAGACCACGCCCTCCATGGCAGCGACCGTGCTCATTGGCCCATAGGAGGCCAGCCTCCCCACGACCTCAAGTGTGAGGCACGCCCCCACCAAAAGATGCACGGCCATTGGTCCACAAGAGGGCAGGCCTACCAGGGTCGCCCCGCCCATCTCCTAACTCCTCATCTGCCGGAATCCAAAGCAGCTCTCTGCCCAGCCATTTAACCCTTTTAAAGACATAGGCCTCCCACTTCTCCCCCCGCCCTTCCTCTTCCGAGGCTGGTTAATTGGATGCCCTAGGGCTTTCACAAACAGTTGGAAAACATCCAAAATCGGCCTAGTTTTCCCACACCAGACCCCAAATATCCCCACTCCCATTCATCTCTCTCTGCTTTGCAAACAAGGACTCCAGAGACTAGAGAACTCTTGGAGCCTAGGAAGATTCCTTCATGGCAGAGCAGATGAAAAGGTCCTGAAGTGGGATACTATCTCCTTCCATTGAGAAATGGTATTCTTCCTTCTCTTACTCTATACTGATGTTCTTTTGCCTTCACTGAAGGAGCCCCAAGGGAGACATTCTAATTCAGAGATCTAAACATCATTCTTTGTGCTTCATCCCTTCTGTCAGTACTCTTTCTATTCACAGGCCCCTGTTCAAGGAGGCAGAACACTCAGAAGAAGTGGACTAGGAAGGCTTCTGCCCAGAGCGGGGGACATATGCCCAACTCAAGCTCACCCCCATGACTCACAGCTCCCTCGAAACTCTCCACCCTCCCCCTGAGTCACTGGGCCCCAGGCCCAGCCCAGACCCAGCCAAATTAAGTGGCAGCAGAACCAGCATTCCTAATTCTTGTCCTCCTACTCTTTGAATGACCAGGATGGAAGCCTGTGTAAGGATTAGGCACACAAAGACACTTTTCAGAGGGGCTGCTCCAGGGGCAACCTAAGAAAATAGCATTGTCTACCTTTCCCTCTGCACTGTTCAGCAAATCAGATGCTGTGGAACTTAGGAGGCTTTTTCTCCTAGTCTTTCACAGAAGCAGGAGAAACACCAGAGCCAGAAGAGGGAAGATTCAAACTGAGGCCCTGGAGAACTGGCATCAGCCAGGACAGCTGGTTGTGCCTCCAGAAGAGGGGGAGTCTGTTCTATAGTTCAGAGGCCACAGCAGGCCCAAGGTCCTTGAGGTCGACACTGGACAGTAAAAAGAGGTTCCCCTCCTCCTACTTCCTCCTTGTGCCCTAGACTTAGGAAGGACAAGCAAGTAAGTTAGTTCCTCAAGGCTCCTTTCTCCTCACCTCAGACCAGGCGAAAAACCTTGAAAAAGAATGCAGTTGCATGGACTGACGTCCTTGTTGGTTCCCCAATGATAAGGAACAGGATTAAAGAAATTTTCAACACCCTGAACAAAATTGCAGAGTACAAATGTAAAAGTTACTGGGTAGACAGGTAGACACAGAACACAGTAGGAAAGGAATAATCCCTTGATGACCCCACCTTGTTCTATTTTACTGCCACTACCATAGGCCCAGGCCTTAATTACCTGTAAAGGTCAGGGAGCAATAGTTCAGGGGGAAAGATCAAAGATGTTCTAGGTCTCAGTGTGTCCTGGAAAACCAGCATGGTACAATCAAGAGGCCTTACCTAGCTGCCCTAACTCTTACCCTGCTTTATTATTTTTCATAACAATTACCAACAGTTGGCCTCTCGCTCTTTCTCTTTCACACACACACACACAAACACACTTCTTCATTTCTTTTTTCCTCTATTATAATAGAAGCTCCACAAGAGCAGCACCTTTATCTGTTTTGTTCATGCTGATATTCCCAGAATCAATTATGTCTGGCACATAATAGGTGCTCAATAAACACTGGCTGAAAGAAACAATTAGGAACAACAATCAGGGGACCTGGGTCCTAACTCTTGCTCTTTCACTGTGAAACAGAGAAAATCAGTCTCTTTGGCCATCAATTTCCAAATCTGTAAAATGAGGGGTTTGCATAAATGATGACAACTGAGGGCTTCTACAACTCTGGCCTTATACTGCTATAATTCTAATGGCTATTGTTCATTCATATCCATTTTCAGAAGATGGGTCCAAGCGTCTGAATGCCTTGCTGCTTGTACCAAAGAAGAAAAGATATATACTCCAGCCTCAGCTCAGCAAACTAATGCCTTTTCTCTTCATGCCCCACCCACTCACACAAATGCCTCAATCCTGAGGAAGCTGGAGTGAGTCTGCCTTAGGCCTGCCTCTTTGACAGACAGTCTGGGAAGCTGTGTTGCCATAGCAATCAGCTCCACCTCAAAAGGCATCAGCCTGCCCTCCTTTACCCCACCCCACCCCGGCTTTGTCTGGCCTCAGAACCCCCTCCCTTGCCAGATAGTCTCTCAACTAGAGGAGGCTGGCTTGGGGCCCCTTTTCAGCAACACTGTCACACTCATTCAGCCACACTGTGCAAGACAGGCCTTTCTCACCCTTTCCCAGTAAGCCCAGGGGCAAAAAAAACTCTGGCACTACATCAAGTTCCCTCAGGGAATGAGAGGAGCCCCCAAGAGGACCAGGCTCTAATCTCAGTTCTGACAGTCAGCTTCCAAGCCAGGACTATGAGAAGCCATTCCTTCTTCCTCCCCGAGTTGAGGCTGGAATCTCACATCCCTTCCCTAGTTCAGTCTACAATTGTGGCTCACTTTTCAAAACACAGATCAAAGACCCTCAGTACGCCTCACTATTTCCCTCCTCCCACAGAAGCCCAGAATTTTTGAGGCCCCTAAGGTACCCCACCCAACAGAAGGAAAAGGGTGGAGAAAATCAGTTTGTGGGCAGTAAAAATATGGCTACCAGTCACTTAGGGGGCTGTTAGGAAAGACCTTGATAGTAGTAAGGGGTGGGGTCTGGGCCTTGCTGCTGG